GTGAATCCCTTCTCTAATGGCTAGAAATGTTTAAAATACCACAAAAAGTGAGTGAAAGTGTGATTTGGAGAAAAGAATGCAGGCTTTGGCGTTGAACTATGGATTGACTCCTTGCTGTGTGCCAGACCAGCAGCACAGCTGCCATGAGTTATCTTAGTGTCTCTGGGCTTCAGCTTCTTCAACTGTAATGTGGAGATAATACTTATCTTGTGGGTTTCTTTTAGAAGATTCATCAAGTAATATATGTAGAGTGTCAAACATAGTACCTAATACATAGAAGACATTCAGCTATTGTTATTTATATATGTTGTAATTATACAAATATACCCAGCCTGCCTACAAAAATGATAGCAGTGGCTCACAGTAAGATAGACTTTTGTAAGTAGAGCAAATATGCCCCCTGCAGTCTCAAATAAGTCACGTGCTTTGCTTTTTTTTTTTAAATCTAGTGCACACTGATGTAGTTAGCATTTATGGAATACTAACTATGTAGGAATCTAGGTACTAGCGATTCGAGAATTAAACATGGTCCCTGCCCTCAAGGCTCCTATCATTTTTAGAACTCGAACTTAAAACCGCTGTCCCGACAATATTACATGGTGGTTAAGAATATAGACTTGCAAGCCGTACTTCCTGGCGTAGAATTCTACCTCCTCACTTAATACTCATATGACCGTGGGCAGGTTACTTAACCTGTCCTCCTTTTTCTCGTCTATAAAATGGGCATAATAATATTACTGTTACCTCCTTCATATGGTTAAATGAGTCAGTATGTGCAGAGCATTTAGAATAATGCCTGGCACATGGTGAGCACTACATAAGCATTAAACAAACCGTAATACATCATATCAGGCTTTTGTACTTTCTGATCAGGTTTCAGAGAACCTTCTTTGCACCTTTTGTTGAATTTAGGCCCTGAGTTTCCTGAACTGAATTATACTGATCTTATTTGTTTTACGTACGACACAGCGGCTGCAACAATGGGCTCAAGCATAACAATGATTGTGAGGATGGCACAGGACCAGGCACTGTGTCGTTCCATTCATGAGGTCACTGTGAGTCAGAACCGACTTGACGGCGCCTAACGACAGCAACATGTCGCCTTATCTGCCTAGAGAAACTGGAGTTCAGCCAGGCCAACTTTGCCACAAATTCCAAATAATGGAGTATAATTTTTTTTGAAATTTTACATCTAATACAAATTCACATGTACTATAATGTATATTAACATCTTTTTCTGAGTTAATCAGATATAAGATGTTTAAAAAATTAGGTGATACTCCCATTTAATCAAAACCAGGAGTAGACCTCCTGTTATGGCTGAATATTTTATAAAGCAACAGGAGCTCATTTAATCAGGGGTAATATAAGCAGTTTCTTTTTGCTCATCCACAGAATAAATCATGTTTAAATAATATCTTGCATTATTGAGTTTGAAGTTGTGATGTGATATTAATCTTATTATTTATTTGGTCTAAGGCTGTTGCATATATTAAACTATCCTTAGCTCATAGTGTTGAGAGAAAAAGCTGTATATGCTTAAAAATGGTTAAAATTATTTAGTAAGGTTACCACACATAACACACACACACCAAAAAAAAACTTGAAGCTTTTACCAATATCACAGTTTCGATATATATTTTATCTTAAATGGTCAAAATGGTGACTTTTTAAAAATTTATTGTCTGATTATAGTCTAGTTTTAGAAAATTTGTCTCTTGAAAGAAACTTGTCTGCTTGGTAACAAGAGAAATTATTCCTATCTGTGGTAGGTTAATTTCTCTTCTTCTGTTAGTTATATTCTTGTACTTGTTCTACTTATCAAGTTTTGTAATGTCCTGTCATATTTTTGAAGTTTTAACTGTTTTTGCTTCTTTGGAAGAAAAATACTCTTAAACACTCAAGATTGCGGTTTATATACTTCGTTTGCAATCAAGATTTAAGACACAAGTACCAAGTCAATCAAAATGTTCACCAGTTTCCAACATTTAAAAACCAAAAGGAGTAGCAGTAAGAGGTTCTATTTGTATAAAAGCCTCTTAAAATAGATATTTAAAAGCTAGGCTCCCCACTGCACCCCACCCAAACTCAATAGGGAGATCTCTGGGAAGATACAAAATACGTGGAGTATTTCATTTCTTGTTCTGTCATAATGGTAGAAATCGATAGATTGAGACAAGTACTTTCACAATGATTTAAAATGCTAAATAGCAACAGAGAAACATCCTTAGTGAGCTTTGCGCCTAGTTTTGACACTCATTTATTTTATTCCCTGGCAGGCCACTATGTCTTTTTGTGTCATCTGTATAATAGCAGTAGTAGTAATAAAACCTGCCACCTCTTGAGCAGCACACTAGGTGCCAAGTATTTAATCCTCTAATTCTACATCCACCCTGTGAGGGAGGCCCGATACCTCCAGTTTCTGAATGCAGAAACTGAGTCTCAGCTCCTTCGGTCCCCAGCCCTCTATTGAAGTGTTATAATTCCATCAGCCGTTTCCTTACTGGAATACACAGTAGTGAATGAAATATGGTATTATTTATTATCTGAGCATTTTAAGGGATGTTCTTGCCATCAAACTGGCTTTGTGATAGTTGAAAATCAATTTTCTTTTAAAAGTAAAATGTCAGCAAATTTAATTTTAATCATCATCTTGGCTAATTCTATTAGCCACATTCTTGCTGAATTCTTGAACAGGTCCCTCTTTGTGGTGGGCGATGCTCTTCAGTTAGCTGGACTCTGGTTATTTGAATCTCGTTATTTATTGCTGTACCTCAGGGGCCAGCAAACTGTGACCCACGGTTTTTGTAAAGTTTTACTGGGATGCAGCTACATTTTACAGTTTATGAGGAGCTTTCAAAGCCTAAAATGTTTACTGTCTGGCCCTATATAGAAAAAGATCCCTACCCCTGCGCTCTTCTACCTCGCTGAACAAAAGATTTGAGGCAATCAAGTTTAATACCTAGTCCTAAAGATATACAGAACTTTCTCTTTAAGTTTTCATGTAATGTACAGTGAAGCCTGTGAGAGCCGAAACTTGGCGGGACTGCCTTGTTTCTCCAAGTCTCGAAAGTTTTCCGCCTTTGACAGAGTGCACTCTTACCACTTTTCTATCGCTCATTTTAGTGGAAAATATTTGAATTTTCCTTCTCTGACAGGTTTCCACCTTACACAGTTTCTGGACTTCACAGGTTCTACTGGATATTCTTTCTGGGAAAAGATTGGGGACAAAGTAAAAACTGAGGGATTAGCTTACTGTTTAGTTTCTTCGAGGACATTCCACTAATTTGAGAATTTGCTCGCTAATGTGCTTACAACCTGGTATTGCCCAAATAAGTGAATGTATCTTGGGGTCATTTCTTTCTTCCTTTGATAGTTTTTTTTTTTTTCTATACCATTGAAAGGATAACAAAGAGGATACAAGAAAGATTCTGTTTTTATTTACAGAGAACTAAAATTTGGTCATGTGTGAGTTTTTGTTTACCTTCCTTACCCTCACGGAGCCAAGGCTGCATCGGGTTTCCAGTTAGATGGTTACCTGATCCCTTTCAGAGTCAGCTCTGTCCATGCTCTCTGTTGAGGAGAGTGAGTGCCGAGTCCCTAGATGCGCTCAGTTTTCACAAGCCTTGGGATCTTGAGCCTCCCCTTTCCTACAGGTTCCATTAATTGATAACGAGAACCTGTTTCCCATATCTCACAGGTGAATATAATGAAGGTGTTAGAGTAACTTGGGTAGCGTTCACAGAAGACCACCCCGAGACTAATTATGCAGTGTGAAGCTTTTTGCCCTGATGCTGCATCCAAAATAGAGATTTTGGTTTGGAAAATATGTTTGTGAAAACGTTTCCTTTTGTTTTCCATTTCCCTGGTTGTGGACTATACTACACCACAGAAATCAGGTCTTACCTTGTTTTTGTTACCTGGCAGGAGGTATAACCATGATGTGGCATTTTCTTGTCCGCTGAGTATCATTTCAGTAGTGCAGTTAATCTTCCAGAGGCTTTAACTTATTAAGAGTTTGTATTCCTATTTGATGTTTGAGTAGTAAATTGTGCTAAGTTGAAAACTATCTGAAATGGTTCTGAACTACAATTAGGGAAGTGGGAATAAGTGTTCTTGTAGGTTGCACATGTAAGCTACATCTAGCAGCACCCCAAAAATGTTAATTTAAATCCAACAAGTTTTAACTAAAGAAAATACTCCAAAATGTCAAGAGATTTGTCTGTCTGACCTTGGTGAAAATACTCTAGGGAATAGTCAGGCTTTGCTTGAAAGGAAGGTAGTTTTCTATTCAAAAAAATATGTACATGCGCCATGGAAGAGTAGAGAAATGGAATTTCTAAAAGATAATTTGGATCACCAAAATGATAAATGAGCTGCTGAATTTCTTATGTAAAGATTGAGACATTCTTTCCTACTTTGGTTTGTACCGTTGGCAACAGAGGTATTTTTTTAAAGTCTTCTAAACTTCAAGTGTCTGTGTCCAAGAAAAGGGTTCTTATTTGCTATACTAACATAATACTTTTCAGAGGCATCCAATCTTATTGTTCCTAAGTCTAGAGTATGTGAATGGTGGTAGGCGATGTCCCAGTGTGATGGAAAAGAATACGAATGCTGGCTGTCAAGTTTGGCTGTTTTGTTTTGGGCAGATTATTCAAACTTTGAGATTGCTTTTTCACTATACAACTGGGTAATTTTTCTTCTTTATAGAATTTTGAAATGGATAAAATAAGATAATGTTGGTAAAGTACCAGGTATGATGCTTGACGTGTAGCTACATGTATTTGGCACCTACTGTATTATCACCATGATTATTTAGCATAATCTAATATTTAGAGCAAGCGTTCTATGTGTAGTACTTACGTCCTTTTCATTCAGTGTTTCTGCACCTGAGTGGTGATTTTAACGGGGAGGGTGTGTGCGTGTTAAGGAAAACACTACGGCATTGTTAAAATTAGAGAAATGAAAATAACCCTTTTGGGGGGGGTGTTTTGATGCAGACAGCTTTACTAAACCGCCTGGAGCGAATTTTCGAAGCATGTTTTCCTTCCGTACTTGTCCCTGATGCTGAAGAGGAAGTTACTTCTCTGAAGCACTTGCTGGAAGCAAGCACCTGGCCAGGAAAAACAAATGAGACCTCAGCTGAGAGCGGGTGAGTTGGAGACGGGTTTTGGATAGCATGTATTTTTGTTAGTTTCAATTGTTCCAATTTATAAGCTGATCTTAAAAGCTTAAGATTTTTAAAAAACATTAATTATCTTAAAACATCAAGCTTAGAATGAAAACCCCCTGCCTCTCCACTTTTGAGCGATTTCTTTTGATATTTCTAAATCAGTATTCTACTCAGTCTCCTTTGTTATGTATTATCTGTTGACTGCCTAATATGATGTGAATTTAGATTATACCTGCTCTTCTCTTCTTTTCATCCTCCCAATATACTTACCACAGTTTTTAGTTAAATTGTTATTGGGTGTTTTCATTATTATAATTGTGTAACTACTATTCACTGCTAAGCTACTGTTTCTTTTATAGTACACCTTTTTCCTAGACTTAATAACTGCCTCTTTTTTTTCATTCAGTAAGTTTTTCCATATTCTCCAACAGCCTGTTAATACAATTTTACTTGTGAGCAAACCTGTTAGGCTATATGTTCCATCGTTTTCCTGTTCCAATCGTAATTGTTTCAGTCTAGGCTTCTCACATGCGTTGTCTTGGTGCTTCCCTCACTTAGATCCCATTTTGGTGGAGCACATTCTCTCATAGCTTCCTGTGGATAAGAGTACATGGCAGGGGTAGGGGGAGGGTAAATTTTTATTATATTCTACCCTCACAAGGCTCCAGGAATTGACAAAATACCAATTAAGAAGTTCAACAAACAGATGCACTGGTGGAAGTGCTCACTCTTCTATGCCAATACCTTGCTAACCGACTGGAAGAGATCCATAATGAGCCCATTCCAAAGAAGGGTGATCCAACAGAATGTAGAAATTATTGAGCAATATCATTAATATTACACACAAGTAAAATTTTGCTGAAGACCATTCAAAAGCGGTTGCAGGAGTACCTTGGCAGGGAACTGCTGGAAATTGAAGCAGAATTCAGAAGAGTATGTAGAACAAGGGATATCATTGCTGATGTCAGATGGATCCTGGCTGAAAGCAGAAAATACCAGAAAGATGTTTACCTGTGTTTTATTGACTGTGCGAAGGCATTCGACTGTGTGGATCATAACAAATTCTGGATAACTTTTTGAAGAATAGGAATTCTAGAACACTTAATGTGCTCATTAAGAACGTGTACATAGACCAAGAGGCAGTCATTCGAACAAAACAAGGAGATACTGCATGGTTTAAAGTCAGGAAAGTTGTGCACCAGAGTTGTGTCCTTTCACCATACTTGTTCAATCTGTATGCTGAGCAAATAATCTGAGAAGCTGGACTATATGAAGAAGAATGTGGCATCAGGATCGGAGGAAGACTCGTTAACAACCTTTGATATGCAGATGACACAACCTTGCTTGCTGAAAGTGAAGAGGACTTGAAGCACTTGCTGATGAAGATCATAGATTACAGCCTTCAGTATGAATTGCACCTCAACATAAAAGAAAGCAGAAATCCTCACAACTGGACCAGTAAGCAACATCATGATAAACAGAGAAAACATTGAAGTTGTTCAGGATTTCATTTTACTTGGATCCACAATCAATGCCCATGGAAGCAGCAGTCAGGAAATCAGTGTATTGCATTGGGCAAATCTGCTGCAAAAGACCTCTTTAAAGTGTTAAAAAGCAAAGGTGTCTAACTTTGGGGACTAAGGTACGCCTGACCCAAGCCATGGTATTTTCAGGTGCTTCATATGCATGCAAAAGCTGGACAGTGAGTAAGGAAGACCAAAAAAGAATTGATGCCTTTGAATTATGGTGTTGGCAAAGAATATTGAATACCATGGACTGCCAGAAGAATGAACAAATCTATCTTGGAAGAAGTACAGCCAGATTGCTCCTTAGAAACAAGAATTGCTAGACTTTGTCTCATGTACTTTGGATGTGTTATCAGAGAGACCAGTCCCTGGAAAAGGACATCATGCTTGGTAAAGTAGAGGGTCAGCAGAAAAGAGGAAGAGGCTTAACACGATGGATTGACACAGTGGCTGCAACAGTGGGCTCAAGCACAACAGTGATTGTGAGGATGGCACAGGACTGGGCAGTGTTTTGTTCTATTGTACATAGGTTTGCTGTGAGTGAGTACCAACTCAATGGCCCCTAACAAGAACAACCCTCACATTAAACTTATAGTTTAGGATCTTTGTTGCTCGTATTATGAAATTTCACAGTTAAGTGTTTTGATGTGGGCCCTTTTTTTTTTTTTTTTCATTTATTGAGCTGGACACTAGATAGGACCTTTCAGTCTGGAGGCTCTGTTCTTTAGCATTGGACAGTTTTCTTATACTAGTTCCCTGATAGTTACTTTCTTTCTATATTATCTCTGTTCTCTCTTTCTGGAGTTCCTATTAGTTGGATGTTAGAGGTTCTAGACTGATTTTCTTATTTTAATTTCAAGGTTATCTTTATTCCTGGGCTGCTGTCTTGCATCTCATCCCCCTCCGCCTCCAGTGGTATTCTCTCCTTTTGCAGGTCTCTCCTTCCTCCATTCTGCTAAGTCAGTTACTACTCAATATTAGTGGGTTAGAGTCTTAAGTATCTCATAATTTCATTGAAGATAGAGTTTATGTTGTTTTTTTTTTAATTATTATTATTTTGAGATGATTTCTGAGAAGAGAGAGGACAGAAAAGTTTATATTCTGCCATCTTGAAACTGCTTAGGTGTGTTTTTTAGAAATGTATTGGTTTTACAGATAGAAATTTCAAAAAGTTTATGCTCTCGCACCCAGTAATCTCTCTCCAAGAGATTCATTCTAGGGAATTAATACAACTGTGCAACAACACATACACCATAAAAATACAGGAAGGTATTCACTGCCTTACTATAAAAATGGCATGGCAGGGGCATCTGACTTCCTCTAACTTCATAAGGGAGGGTGAGGGAGGAGAATCAAGATCAACATCAGCCCAAGGCTGATTCCTATGAGTTGGAGGTCAGACATACCTCCACCCTCCAACCTTTTTACCAGTTCTGACACCAACCATTCCTCCCACAACAACTCTTTTCTCTGCTAGCTTCAATAATTCATTGCAAGGGCCACACAGAACTCACAGACCATCCTTACAGTTACGGGGTTTATTAGGGAAGTAACAGGTTACAACTCAGAATCAGGATCAACAGGCTACAATTCTGCATCAGGATCAGGAAACAGATCAGGATCTGTTTCCTGGGTCCAGGAGGCTCTCAGTGTAGGGACTCCAGATCCAAAGGACATGCTCCACTCCCGACTCTTTTTTCTTGATAGTAGTGAAGTCCCCTCTCCCAAGCCTCAGGGATGGCTCATTTTAATCCTAATGGGATGGCAAGATTGACCAATCCCCTTGTTAGGGTTCCATACACCTTATTTACATGGTCCCACCCTGCAAGGGTCCCATGCACCTTATTTGCATAGTCCCACCCAATCGTTCTGTGAGAGTCATGAAGACTATGGCTAGAAGGGCCATATTAAGTAATTAACTGCATGGCACTTACTAACTATAACAGTCAAACGGTGAAAACAATTTATGTAAAACTGTAGGATTGTGGCTGAATAAATGATGGTGCATCAGTCCAGTAAAACATTACGCAGCCATTAAAAAAGATACATGTGCAGACGGGGAACAGCAAAAAGAATACAATTTATATATATACTATAATTGCAGCTGGGTGTTTGTGAACCAGGACTTGAGGAATAAACACAAATGTTGAATAGCTGAATTAAGATGCTGAATGATTTTTTAAATTATTTCTTTGTTTTTACAATAATAAAAGGAATAACATGCAAGTTAAATTTCTGCTTGGTTTGTTTCTGCTTGATTTCATATTGTTTCAAATTTGTTTAACTTAGTTACTTTTCTAATGACTTAAGTGTTGGCTGTTCTATACAGATAATAGTTGTATGCTCATTATAGACACAAGATTATGGCAATGTATAGTATGTCATAATTGTATTAAAAGTAGAATTCATGATGAAAGCTGTGGAGTAACCTATTCTTGTTGGTGGCTTCGTCATGGACTTCGCAGGGAACTGCTGGATGTGTGGACCGAGCTTCAGGATATCCACGACGCACATGGCTTGAGATACCAGTGGGGTGGCTCCCATAGCAACAAGAAGCTTTTGTGCTCCTTGGGAATAGACACCCGAAACATTGTGAGTTTGTTTAGTACCTTTAAAAATCCTTTAATCAACCTATGGATTTTTAAAAAATTCTCTTGCAGTCAGTTACACGTGATGAGCTAGTTCCTCTGAAAAATAAATGTTACTTTGTTTAAATGTTCATGTAGTTTGAATATGCCAACCTTTAAATATAAATCCACCTGAATTTTTCTCTATAATTGATACTTCTTATTTTTAGAAAAAGTTATTTTAATGTTTTTTATTAGCTATAAAATGAAAGAATTGGACTAGGATATCAAAAATATAACCCACGTGAGCAGTTCAACAGGTTCTTCAGTTTATCATTCGCAATGTATGTAATAAGGCATTGGAAACCTATTTTGGGAAATATTTATATGACAAATCATTTTCTAAACGTATGTTCTTTCTCTCTAACACGTGTATAGCTCTTCACGGGCAATAAGAAGCAGCCTGTTATAGTGCCCATGTATGCAGCAGGGTTGGTAAGTACAAAAATGTCTCTGTGTGTTTATCGTTACTGCTTTTGTCTGTAAAATCATCTTACACAGCATCACATAGAAAGTGTATTTTAAGGGGCATCTAGTGTGGGAACGGGTATAAATATAATATCCTTTTTAATCTCAGAAATCACTTCAATAGAATTTTCTATAGCCCAGTAACCACAGATACAGTTTTGTTTTAGATTGACTTATTTTTTGTCTTAGTAATATTAGCACTTGAACTCTTTGTAAAATGTACCTTGGAGGTTTCTCTTCTTTATTTTTCTAAATTTGCCTTTAAAAAGAAGATGCTAAACTATATCTCAGGGTTTAAAGATATGTTTTAATCCAGCCGTGATTAGCTTTAAATAATGTAATATTGAGGCTATGAATGTATTTAAAAGCCTGAAAAATATCAAATTATAGTAAATGAAAATGAGCCAGAACCACTAGGCCCTCAGTTTTTCCAGTAATGTTTTAAATGTGTTGAATTCTGTTTTTTTCGGATATGCCAGGTAGTCCAGGATAACTGAGGAATTTTCATTCTGTACCTTATCAAGACCCAATCACATTTTAAAGTTTGATGTGCTTGTGTTTATTGGTGTGTCTTTGAGTTATTGGTGAATAAAAACGTCCTATCTATTAAACTAAAAATATTTTTAATTTTTCACCAATAACTTCAAAATAAAGGGGAAACACTATGTTCAAGAAAATAAGCAAAACAATAAGGAATCCTTGGTACATAATTTAAGTTATACAGCCCATTATGTGCCATGTGAAAGCAAATTTGCTGTGGAACTTGTTTAATCTACAGACTTTTTCCATGAATAAGTGCTAATTATTGATGTTGAATTAGAACATTTTGCTTTGTTTTGTTTTTGCAGTTTTGTTTGTTTAGTGAAATTGGGCAAAAAATTTCTGTGCTTGGGCTTTTTTGTCAGTTTCTACCGCTTTGTAAATGGTTGTGTTGTACTTAAGAAGACACCTTGATGATTCCTGCAGTCTTTTCTGTTGTGGGTGAATATAATCCAGAACATTTCTGTAACTTACTGGTATTTGGATTTCTGTTTTTCTTACGAAGTAGCATTCTAGAGGTTGTTAGCATTGTTATTGTCACGTTCTGAGCAGTAACGAGGGATGTGATTGTGGCAGTTTCATCCATGTGTTGGGAGCAGCGAGCTGCTTAATGCTTATGTGTAGTCTCAGCACATTATCCTGTTCCTTAATGTCTGAGGACTTGGAGGCTAAGGGATGTGCTTTTTTCTACCTTCATTACAATCTTTATTAGTAATAAATAATTCTACCATTTTTTGTAAGCGATAATAAGAAAATTTATTTAGTGAATGTAAATTCATCTCCTCTCCCCCACCTTTGTGATATCTTTCATTTAGAAACTTAACTCTTTTTAACACCTAGTTTCAAATTTTAATTATACCTTATTTTTTTCCCAGTGGTGCTTTGCATATTAGATGTTCAATACTTTCATTTTATCTGGAGGAATAGTCTCTGAGACAATCATTTCAGTCACTGATTCTGGAACTTTAATGTGTATCAGAATCACCTGGTAGACTTTTTAAAACACAAAGTGCTGGGCACACCCCCAGAATTTCTTGTTCAGTAGGTTGAGGATGGGGTCCAAAATTTGTACATCTTGCAAGTCCCCAGTTGAAGCTGAAGCTGCTGATTGGGGACCACACATTGAGCATCACTGGTTCACACTAGAAAACTAGGCTGAAACCAGTAATTATTTTGCCAAACGAATTATCACAGCTTTGCATAAAGGTGCTTAGAGAACCTGTATAACATACATGGTATTGAGTTAGACCATTGGACTTAATTTTGCTTTTCTGTCTTAGCGTGCATCATTGTTAAGATTTGAACCTGTAAATTGCTTAATCAGCTTATGCTCTACTTTATGGGGGGAGATTCTCCTAAAAACTTGTTTTTCAGAATCTACAGATTCTCATATTACTGACTTAGCAGCTTTGGCTTTTCTCCCCCTTAAGGGATAATTTTGTCTTGGTTATAACCTTTAAGTGGTAAATGTTCAGGGGCTTATTAAGTATTATTTTAAAATGTATAAAAACTTGACTTATTTTTAAGCTATTAGCCTGGGTTATTGCCCATTTAGTGTTTGGTAGAGTGTTGATACATAAACTGATTTTTTTCTTCTTTTTTATTTCTACATCTTCATGTCTGCCTTTATACTCAGAAAGTGTGTTAGATTTTAACATAGCCAGCAGAACGTGAGAGATGGTGCCCTCTCAGACGACTGTGTCTCTGCTTTACCAGTGCAAGAACTAAGTACCCAGACTCCCATGCATGGAGATCGGGGTCAAACACTAAGTTCACATTGAAAGTGTAGCAGCCACCACACATGTGACATGTTTTAGAATCAGCTCTCACTTCTCCGAGCATCATCATGGTGTCATGTGCACAAATGGAGCCTTTTCCTGTAATTTCAGTGTCTGAGCCATCATAAAAAGTGTTGTATTCTTAGGGCCTGGATGTAATATATTAATTTCCACCCCGCATCCCAAATTGTGCTTATATGACAGTGGTAATTAGGTACTTTAAAACAAATCTGATTTAAAATATGAGGTCTTCTTTCAAAAAGTTTGGGTTCTAAAAATACAGTTTTAAAGCATTTCCCATTATAATGCTGCAAGATTCTCTGTAAACAAAATCAAGAATAGTTCCTTTTTGCCTTTGGTACTTTCCGAATGACCTGTATTTGCTTTTTGCTTTCTGCTAGATTAACTTCCTTATAAAGTTTATGGGTGGATCCCCCTACCCTTGTTAATGACTAATATACCTTTTTCAGGGTATGTTAGAGCCCACCAAGGAACCATTGAAACCACTATCTGCTGCAGAAAAAATAGCTTCCATCGGTCAGACAACTACCATGTCACCAGAGATGAACACATGTACATCTGATCGATTCCAGGTAAAAAGATCTAGATGTGTGTAGATACGTTTTTGTATGTATGTACTCAGACATGCACACATACTGTTCTTTCCCTTAATCTGAGAGGTTTTAATTTGATGATGGATGGATTATGATTATTTATAAACATCCCTTGGAATACAGTGAACAAATTGTCTTTAGTTTCAAAAACAGAAAGACACAATTTGAGAACTGGGTGTTTATGGTAAGTCACTTAAACCTGTTCAGGCCTTAGTCTCTTTACCTATAAAATGAAGAGTTTAAAACAGGTTATTTCTAAAGTCCATTGTGGCTTGAGTGTTGTATGGTCATAATTACTGGCACACACATCTGGTAAGTGCTAGATTTTAAAAAAAAATAGGATATGCTGCATTCACACCAACTTTTCAAGTCTGCTATTGTGTGTTTTTCCCGAAAGCCTGTGACATTTTATAAAGTGGTAGAATTTGGGTGTGTTCATTGCCTCAGAAACTGTTGTTTGAGAGTTTGAGTAAAACTGTTAAGTTGAAAAAGATGTGGCCTTAATAATACATTGTACGGATAGGAAACAAGTTGTTTTACCTTTCTTATCCTTTACCTCCATGGCACATTTAAGCACAAATTTTATTTCACTCTCATAAGTTTAATATTAAAGTCCTCCCTCTCACCTTTTATCTGGGGAAAATGGGCCATTTTGATTTGCTTCCCATGTCATATTATAAACAGACTGAGTGCTGGTTACATGTTGTTTTTCAGATTAATATTTCTAAGTGAACATTACCATATCTAAAACATGTTCTTGCCATGTTTTTCATTTCTTAACTATTGTCTTTAACTGTATCTAACAGAAAAAGTGTATGTTTGGACAGCCTTTCCCAAAATATGTGTTCCACTGAACACTGGTCCCCAGAGATGCTCTCCATCATACCCTACCACCACCCTTGAAGAGGCCCAGCATGCCTGTTAAGGACTCTGAAGACCCCTGCATTGAATTACCTTATTTTAATTCATCATTTCCCAATTTACTTGACCACAGAACCCTTTTTTGTAGGAAACCCTAGTGGCGTAATTGTTAAGAGCTACAGCTGCTAACCAAAAGGTCTGCAGTTCAAATCCACCAGGCACTCCTTGGAAACCCTCTGGCAGTTCTACTCTGTCCTGTAGGGTCACTGTGACTCGGAATCAACTTGACAGCAATGAGTTTTTAGTTTAGGGGCAAGGGGCATGATAACCTTGTAGAACCAGTTTTTGAAGAACTTACCATAGAAAAATGATATAAACATAGGTCATACTCTTTTCAGTTGTGTCTACCAAGAAGCATCTAATATTCCTGCTATGTGCAATTAAACTTCAGTTTGAAGCCAGCCTATTACTGGCACTAAATAAGTGGCCAAGGGGGCCTGATGGGTGAAATGCCCTAGTTGGGCAACAGGCAAGGTGACTTGGGCAAAACGTCTCAGTAGATAAAATCTGTCCTTACTTGTCTCTCTTTTTGTCATCCTGATATTGTCTTCTGGCTATCAACTGCTCTCCTAGGCCTGCTATATCTCTGCAGTTTCCAAAATGACTTCTCCCACAGCCCATTCTCGCTTCTACCTCAGCTGACATTCTTATTCCTACAGTGCTAAGTGTTAGGAAAATAATTTGGGTAACTACTTAGTACATTTCCTGAAAATGGAGCTGTTCTTATTTGAGGCCACTTGTTGCCAGTTTTGCTTGCCTCCTTGCCCTCTTCTTCCTCGTCCACCCACTTCAGGTGTTAACAACCCCATAAACCATTGCTTATTTTATCCAAGGTAGCTGTCACTAGTCATTTTTACCCCTCACTGATTTGGTCGATCTTATTCCATATTTCATTCTAGTAATGCCTTATAGCTAATCATCTTTCTGTTATAGTTTGATTATAGATCTGACTAAAAGTAGAATAGTCTAGATGACCTAGTAAAAACCATGTGTGTTCATATAATAATGGAAGACTCTTAGAGGTTAGTTCTAGCTCAGTGGGATGTGTTCAGCTGCTGCCATCTACGCACGCACGCACGCACGCACGCACGCACACACGCACACACCCTATGCATTTGGAACTGAAGGACTGTTGTCTCCCTGTTTGTAGGCAAGTATGCAAATTTTTTGCAACATTTAAACATCTTTTTTTTTTTGTTGTTGCAAGAAGATGGAATTTGGTCTCTTGCTACTTGTATTGAAAAGCTGCTTTTAATCAAACATACATCCTTTTATTCTGTTCAGGGCACATATTTCTCTTTCAAAAAAACATGTAGATAAATATTAAATTAACAAATGTATCCTCTACTTTTTTGTGGTAGTTCATGAATCTCAGTTACTTTTAGTTTTTAGGCTTCTTTGAGAACCAGTGAAAATAATATTTACCAATAGAAATTCTTCAAACTTATTTCTGAATTGACTCGAGCCTCTGTAGGTCTTCACTCTAACACACACATACACACACTCAAAATGAAGATTCAGAATGCATATTAGAATTTATTTTACTTTTTAGCCGTGCGGTAATACTATTACATCTTTCCGCTAGTCATATTTCTCAGATGAAACACCGTACCTTTAGTGCTAGAAGCTTAGCAAAATGTGTCAGGGAAGACCAGAACGATACCTGATTTGTTTTTCAAAAAACATGTACCAAACCTTCCTTTTATGTGTTTGGTTTTGGCATCATTAAACAGTGACTTTACAACTTAGCACGGTTGTATGATGCTCCCTGTGTCTGCATGCTATTTAATCTATGTATTGTTGTCCCAACATTGGTACCCATTTTTTTCTCCCCCAAATTGGTTTGAACTCATTAATCTTGTAACCATTGCATCTCGTTAATAGGAATTTGTTAACTTTTTGTAACCGTCAATGGTGTTTTTTCTACGATACTTTTACCTGGAAAGACAGCTTAAGGGTAAAAAACAGTAGTGATACCTTTTTATTTTTCCCCTGCCTTTATCCACTGAATTTCAAGGCCACACCATTTATGGTGCCATTATAATGACCATCTTAGTAAGATCAGTACTTTAGCCACACTTAATTCAATGCTGAGTCGAGCAATTCTCTGTCTAGCAGTTATGCAACTAGTCAGCACTAGAAAGTTTCCTCTCTTAGCCTACTTGATGTGGCTCTCTCAGTTGTGAGTCAGAGTTTTAGAGGTGGAAGAAAGAAAAAACAATCACCTAGTACCACGCTCCCTTTTTTACAATAAGAAAGCATATTTGGAAAGGCTAAGTGATTTTATCCAGAATCACGCATCAGTGGTACAGCTAGGAATAGAACCAAGATGTCCTATCTCCAGCCTCCATATTTTTGTTCTTTTTGTTATGACCTTATTTCGTTTGGAGCTCTGGTGGCGCAGTTGTTAAGATCTAGTGCTGCTAACCTAAAGGTCGGCAGTTCGAATCCACCAGCTGCTCCTTGGAAACCCTATGGGGTAGTTCTGCTCTGTGCTATAGGGTTGCTATGAGTCAGAATCGACTCGATGGCAACAGGTTTTGTTTCCTTTGTGCTTCTGTCTCTACAGTAACTGTTCATTCATATCACATTGCTTCTGGTTGCTCTGAAATGCTCCGTTCCAGTGCTTTCTCTTCAAGTTATCTTACTAGTGATTGTCCTTAGTTAGCCTGTGATTGCTTAGGTTTCCTGTTTTTCATTTTCCGCATTTCCACCAAATGTTGATTTGTGTTTTAGCACCTCATTATATATAATATTGGCTGTGTCTTTAAAATGCCATACACCTGGATGAAAAGCTAAAATTCTAGCAAATAACTGAAATATTTCTAAGCATCCAGCTACTGAACATCCTTGAGAGAAAACATGTTAATGAAAGGGCTTTGCTCCATTTATCCAGAAATTTTTATTATTACGTAAACCTAGGCTTTTGTCCATCCACTCAGTGTTGAATATGATCATAAAGTGTTACTGATTTAGAAGTGGAATGATATAATTTTAAAATTATATCATGGGAATGCGTAGCGGTTTTTTTGCTTGTCTTTTCCTTGTGTTTGAGATAAACTAAAGAAGATCTTTTCTGAATATTGTTTATCGCTCCTGCAGGTAGGTTATAAACCAGGTATTCACCAGCATTCTTGCTTCTTTTTTTTTTTTAACTTCCTTTTCTTTAATTATAGAGTCACAGGAAGTTGCAAAGATAGTACAGAGTGGTTCCGTGTACCCTTCACCAAGTTTCCCCTATGGTTATGTTTTACATAATCATAATATAATATTAAAACCAGAAATTGGACATTGGTGCAATATGTGTATAGTTCTGTGTCATTTTATCACATGTAGATTCGTGTAACCACCACCACAGTCAAGATGTACAACTATTCCATCATCAAGAAGATCTCTGTGTAGTCACATCCTCGCACCCTCCCCACCCCACCACCTCCCTAACCTCTGCAGCCAATTATGTTAGCGTTTTACTTGATTTATACCTCCCCACTCAACACGCAGGCCTGACCTGATTTCCTTGGGGCTAAATGCTGATAGTAATTTGCATATCAATTGTATACCAGTTACCAAGACAACAGTATCATAGTATCATGGGATTAGTTTTCAACAACAACCTATTCATGCCTTTTTCCTACAGGGAGCAGTATCTTTACCTACCCAGAAAAAAAAAAAATGAGTATAAAGTATTAATAGTGCCTGCCATACAGTAAAAGGTACTTGGGTGGCACAAATGGTTTGCCCTGTAACTATTAACCGAAAGGTTTGTGGTTCAAACCCACCTGATGGCACTGCGGAAGAAAGGCCTGGCTATCTGCCTCTTTACAGCCAAGAAAACCCTATGGAACAGTTCTACTCTGTAACGCATGGGGTTGCCATGAGTCAGAATGACGCCACAGCAGCAGGTTTGGTTTTGATTTTTTTGGCCATATCGTAAAGCATCCCATTGCCATCAAGTCGATTCTGACTCAGCGACTATAGAACAGAATAGAAATGCCCCATAGGGTTTCCAAGGAGCACCTGGTAAAATACAGTGATAAGTAATTTAAAAAAGAGAGACCTGAAAATATAGGCATTTTTCTGTTTTAAAATCCTTCTGATCTCTACCAGTATATGTATTGAATCTAATAAAACAGGTTATTTCAATAAGACTTGTCAGCACCCCTCCCCCAAAAAAGAAAAAGAAAATCCCAAAATATTTTCTCTTCAAGGATATTATTAAAGTGAATCAGTGCTCATTTAGGAAAAACAAAAAAATGTACCATTTGCTCATTTTATCTTTATGTGTTTTGACAGTTATGAAATCTGAAAACCTAGAATGTTCAAATCAGTTCTGAGTATCCTTTTTAAGGCATTATTTTAGAATTAGATTTCAATATCTGATTATAAGCAATTTCTAAATTAGAGAAGGTCATTAAAATAAATACTTGAAATCAACCCTTTTTTAAAAATGTAATACCCATTTAATGGCCTGTAATTTTCTTCAAAATTTGTGGAATTGTAAAGATCTTGAACCTTCTCATTTCATATAAAGAAGACCAACTGAATTAACAGAATTGTGCAAGGTCATACAACTGTAGTTACTTAATGGTTACTTGGTCTTAAATAACCAAAATCTCCTCACTTTAAGTATGGTACCTTCTCTATTGCATTATATTATTAAGAAATTTTAAGTGGCTGTAGTAATATAAGGAGCCCTAATGGCACAGTGGTTAAGAGCTCTGCTGCTAACCAAAAGGTCGGCAGCTGGAATCCACCAGCCGCTCCTTGGAAACCCTGTGGGGCAGTTCTGCTGTGTCCTACAGGGTCGTTACGAATCGGAATGGACTGAACGGTAACGGGTTTGGTTTTTTGGTTTATAGTAATTTAAAATAACTTAACATTTTCAAATATGCCTCATATTGGACATGATTCATATGTACGTTATTAAATTACTCATTAGTGAAAAAATAGTGAAGTTTTTTTATTGTAATCAAGCCAATAGTTTGAATCATGATTTGAGAGAAGATTGAAATCTTGACAAAGAATCAGTCCATAAATTTCTGTTTGAAAATGTAAAGATACAGCATTTCTCAGATACAACTGTTTAAATGTCATTAAGCTGTACTGTTGGTCAGTTTGTGTTAGGATCTGCAGGTGACTTTATGAAATTGTAAATTATCCCAATTTTGTCTTTAGGTATTTTGTTGCATAGCGATCTTGCTATAGTAGTTTAAAAAAAAAAAAAAAAATCTTTATGTTGCTACAGCCTGTACTGATTAATTTTGATTTTTTGGTTTTCAACTCTAGGAGTCTCTACCACCCGTCCAGTTTGACTGGAGTAGCAGTGGCCTTACTAACCCTTTAGATGGTACGTCTCTCCGTAGAGCCTCTAGCACCAGAGCTAGAGTTAAGAAAGCTACAAAGTTCAGACAGACTTCTCTCTGCTGATTTCCCTTTTCGTTTGAACATAACTTCTTATTCTTATCTTTGGAAATTCAGGCTTTCTTTCTGAATGGTAATTGCTTAAGAAACCAGCCGTTACTATTATTATTAACAGTATTGATGTCCAAATATGGGTAGTAGGAACTAGGTAGAATTTTAGTTTATTTAAGTCAAAATAAGCTTCTTTCTTTTTTACAAATATCTAGGTAATTTAAACGATATTTTAGCGAAGACCAATTTACTTGAAACTTTTTTCTGGAGTTTGAATTTATGGAGTTTTCTTGGATGCAAAGTCTTGTGGCTAGACGCTGCTTCAAAGCACAAAGCACAATTACTTAACCAAAAACAGTGTGCAAGTACATCCGTATTTATTGACTCAAAGTAGTTTTCAGATTTAGTAATATTTTATAAGAGCACCTGTGTACAGATGGATAACAAATTATTTTCATGATCCTTTTCTAAAACGTATCTCAAAATGCTAGTGGGCAATTCCAGAAATAATTGATATCACTATGGCTTTTTAAAAAAAAACCTGAAAAAGAAATAACTTATTCCAGTAATGTGGGGTCTTTAAAATAAGTAACACACAGTGCTAGTTTTCTAGTGTGTTGACACCACAAGTTTTAAGTGGACCCTGAGATACAATTACTCTTACTCCTTGTACTTCATAAATTGTTTGAAACATTGTCCAAAACACCTGTCACTCTTTCAACTTTGCCTTATGCGGGGGTCCTAGGATATCCAGAAAGCATCCAATTGAATAACATAGTGCTGAAGGAAAGCCTGGATGCACCTTTTACTGTTGTCTGGTGTCTTACTCAGCCAAATCATCGTGCTTTCTATTAATAAACAACTTCTTTAAAAATGTATACTATTTCTGATTACCATTTCAGAGTTAAAGGGGAACAGTACAACTTGAGGTTACACAGCAGGGTAGAGTAGTTATGGCATTCCTTATTATGTTATTTTATTTTAAACTAAGTTAATGTATTGGTGCGTGTCCTGAAACTGACAACTTTGTCACTTTTTAAAAATCATTAATTAGAAACCGGCATTACTAACATGAAAGATCGATTTGGGCATGTACGACTTGATGTTGGACTGAGATTAAAGTATTGTTTCCCTTTAACGGGTACGCTTTCCCCCTTGGTCTTTCTGGTATGGCTTCCAGTTTTGACTGAAAGAACTGAACTCCTTCTAACTAAAACCTTACTAAGTGTTAAATTATTTACATTGTACATGAGAAAATGTACACTGAACTAAATTGTTACTTTAGAAATGTCCTTAGAAATGAAAAACTAATCTGTACACATTGTTTTAATGTTGATTTTTAAAATGTGTAATGACTACTAATTTTAACCTGCATGTTCAAGTGTGTGTCTTACCCCTTTTTACACATAACCCCTCCTCCCTTGGCTTACCTTCTGTGTGGCTGCCTACCAACACGGTCACTGAATTTCAAGCTAGTGGAGGTTCCACTCTTCTGAACCTTGATTTCTTTGGGCCCGTGGATGACAGTAGCTCTAGCAGCAGCACCACAATCCCAGGTCAGCAGAGTGTTAAAACCACAATTCTAGTTTATTTACTAAAGCATGACCACATCACTTGACTTTCCTATAAACAAGGAAACAACTAGATTGTATTCTCTATCGTGTCTTTCGAATGCCTTTCTTTCATCTCCTTGTTGTTATTTTCTAGTGTCTGACTACAACAAATGACTTATGTGAAACGTGTTTTAAGGAATGCTTTCTCAGAATGTAGTATTCAGAGCCGAAAGTAGTTTCTAGGAATAAAACAGCCCCAATGTCCTTAGACCATTAAAGGCAGGGATTTTTTTTTCCCCCCTCTAAGTGGAAAATGTGATGTTTTATATGCTTATTTTTAAAAGCATATTCTGTAGCGCTGTATACAAATTTGGAGATATTGAGAATAGTCTAGTACGCACAGATGACTTTACATGGTGGTGCCTGTGATAGTAGAACCTTTATAAATTCTAACATTCACCTGTTTATTAGTGCTGCAAATGTATAATTAGTTTCCAAAATGTTAGAGTCTAGCACTTAGTTGTATAGTCCACATAGAACTCTATTATTGTTTTAAGTATACTGTTAGTTTGCCATGGAGAAAAAAATACCGTTACAAAAATTAATAGTAGAAAGTAATTGCTGTGAGATAGTAAAAGCTAGAAAGTAAAACTTAATTAGAGTGCCTGTTAAATTACTGTTCAGCCGTGCGAGAAAGTTCAGTTTTATTGACCAGAGGACTATTGTACATTTCTAACTGAATAAAAGATTAAAATTATAATGACATTTTTATGTTTACCTTTGATTTAATAGGATTTGAATGAGTCCCTGTCATCCTAACTTGTAGCTTAGTAATCATGCCCATTGGTCAGCCTGGTTCCAGAGAATTTGCTGGGTTTTGTTCTGTCCCACTAGATTACGCTACCACCCACTTCCAACAGTGTAGGAACCATGCTGGGAAATGGGGGAGACCAAGAGTCAGCTGAGGGTGAGCCTGGAACCCAGGGTGCCCTTCTCTAAGATGTGGCTTAGAAATCCGATCCTGTTGCAGGGAAGTCCCAAGACCACTTGCTAGAATAACTGGATTCCTCAAGTCCAAGCCCCTGGTTATCATTTTCATTGTTTTCAGGATTTTGTAAGCATAGGAAAAACCAATCTGTGTCTGGTTTTGACCTCAGAATGATCTTTTACTATTTACTTAAATTACTTCTAAATACATTTGATCTGTGGAATGACCTGGGTGACCTAATTAGTTGTCTGACACTTTTTAATACTTAATGGAGAAAAAAACCCCAACAATTGTGTATCACTTTCTTGATTACTATATTCCCAAGAATGAATTACCAAGCTCCCATTTAAAATTTGCTCTCAACTTTGTTTTGCCATGAACTGTATTCTAATTTAAATGAGGTCACTTTTTTTTTTTTTTTTAATACCTTAAAATCTGGTTTAAATTTAATTTTTGGTTACCTGTCAAACTCATTTAAAAACCATCCATAAGAGCACAAATAACCCGACTATATAAAGAAATACAGAAATGACGTGATAACCAGGCTCAGTGTACACAGCTTCAAGAACAAGCGGTTTCAGAAGCTTAGAGCTGTAATGGAAGCTAACTTAGCATGGTCAAATGCAGTCTTCATTACTTTGGGATCTTTTAAATATTTTCTTTTAGTATTTTCATTAACATGCTCTAGCTGCTGTATAAATTCGATTACTATAAATTTGCTTTGGCTTTTTTTTTATTGCTATTGGGTTTTGTTAAAATTTACCATCAAGCTACAGGTATCAGCACCTTCCTTGGTATTCCATTTCACCATTTGCTTGCACTTTTTCTGACTTGTTTCTGGGAAAGTCATATTGTCTTAGCTTGCGGTTATTTAATTATTTTGTGTGTGAGACTTAGGAGGTTGGCATAGAACTTGGTTGGCTAGCTTTAGTTATGTAACTAAACTGCCTCATTAAGGTTCTGTTAAAAAAAAAAAAACCCTCTTCCATTAAATAAATTACTCTCCAGTTTTCAGTGTATAGTTAATAGTTATCTTGTTTTTGAAAAATAAAGGGTTTTTTTTTTGGTAGTGGTGGTTATTGGGGACTGGAGGGGGAATGTTGTTGCCATGTTTTTGTTGTTGTTTTAATGTCCCACTTTACTGTTTGACAGCCAAGTGGCCTAGTATTTTACAAACCCAACTAAGTTTTTACTAGCACCTTCCTCTTGCCAGTCAGAAGGCAGTTGTTTGTTCTGCATTATGCATTAGACATTAACTTAAATTTTGTGGTTGATTGGAATCTAACCCTTCAAAGTGGAGGAGGGTGGTTTTGGGGGTTCATTTGACCCATTTGCAGGCACTCACAACTTCTTAACATTTTAATTGCAACCCGTATACTTATTATAGAACTAAAAAGAAAAGATGCTTTTAAATTTTGAAACTGTACCTTAATGAAATACTCAGAAATTGAGAGAGTCAACATGTATTTTCTATAGCCTTCCTCCCTTGCTGGAGATGTTAATTGTGGAAGCTGCTTTTTGCTCGTTTGATTTCTGTAAACATCTGAGATCTGTGTTTTCGTCTGTTAATCATCTTCAGAGTTGGTTAATAGAGTCCAGTTCCTGATTTTTGTCCTTAACCTTAAAACATCCTAAAGGGAGGAAAATTGTTAATGTAAATGTATGCATTTGTATATAGTTTTATCTGCTGATCTTGCAGAGCTGTTTTAGAAAAAATAAGTAAAAATTGATAGAGCTATAAGAGAGCCTTCCTTACACTCTGCTCATCTGTTATGCCCTGAAACTACTGCACATTTTATCTCAGGTAATTTATTGGTACCAAAGAGAGTGTAGGATTAAAAACTTTTAAAAAAAAAAAAAACTATATTATTCAAAGTTTAGCTTGAGTTTAAAGTATTTAATTGTACTTTTCAGTGTTTTTGTAGTCATTGTTATTTAATAGAAATCTGCATTATATTGGAAAATTGAAAAAAAATTATATGTATATATTCATTAATGAAGTCAGATGGCAGAGGATTTTTATAGGTTTTTATAGATTTTTGCAGTAAATCTAACCCCTAACCCTGCTTCGTTTTGAATTGCAGTAACAAGATCTTTGAACTTACGGCTGCCAGATTCAGATATGAAGCTATAGAAATATAATTAACTATTGAGATTGAGATAAGAATTTTCATTTTGTCCAAAAGTAGTGCTTTTATTCATTTTTTTCTGGAAAATATTTTACCCTCCACATTTCTTACCTGAAGAAAGAACAATGTAGTATATATACTTTAGTAATAATTTGATGCTTCGAGTAATAATATTTCATGTCCTCAGATGGTCAGAATATATTTAAACTAATCAAGTCATTTCTCATGTTTTAGACTTTGTATTAGCTTGCAAATCTTTTGGTATGGAGGAAAATAATAGAGAAAAAGGATGTTTTAGGGTAGAGGCAGAGGAAGGTCCAAAAAATGAGGTTAGTCGGTCAGTTTAAAAATTGGAAAGGTCATGTTGTATAGCAAATTATTCTGTTTAAAGCAGTGGTAACTTCCATGCTGCATACTAATCCAAAATTGGGGCAGTTCTCTATAGCAGATAGAAATTTGGGGAGTGTTTGGATAGTATCTGCTCTATAAATATTAGATTAATTAAGGGTGTATATATATAGATACAGATATATCAAAATGTAAATTTTAAATATATTTTCCTAATTTGGAAAAGGATAGCGATAAGGTTTTACAACATGAAGGATGTAATCAGTGTCACAGAATTATACTCGGAGAAATTACTGAATTGACAAATGTTCTGCTGTGTATATTTTCAAAAACTAAAATAAAAAAAAGTATTTTTCTGCTTTATCAATACTCTGAAAAGTAGAGTTTTTAATTAAAAAAATAAATGCACCATTACAGTGTTCTAAAGATGTATTGTGTTTGTGAAAGACTCAGATGTTTACAGATTTTGCCTTTTGCATCTTGGATTATGGCTAATTGAATAACCCATTGCAACTTGCCATCACTGACTATCGTTTTGTACCATAAGGTGTGGATCCAGAGTTGTATGAGTTAACAACTTCTAAGCTGGAAATCTCCACCTCAAGCCTCAAAGTGACTGATACATTTGCAAGACTCATGTCCACGGTAGAGAAGACAAGCACATCTACCAGGTAAACAGCTAGTGTTAATTACACCCTAATTTTGAATTCTGAGTTACACAGAACAGCCCAAATGGAAAAGCATATAAGTTGACAGTATTTCAGTATATTATATTAAAGTTCACTTTATTTTAATTTGTAGAAACCAATAGATGCCTAATTCCAGAAAATAGTATCAAATTACGTTTAATTACAAATTTTATTAGAGCAGAGCTATTCGTAAGAGATTAGAAAGGGTTGACAGATGTGGTTTTCATTTTTTCCCCACTTTGTAGAGTAGAATTCTGATTAAAACGCCATTATAGGTAAACTCCCCCTGCACCCCTTTATAACCACTGAGATGATCATCTTTGGGAACCCAGTGTCCTACTCCACAGTTACCGAGGCAAATTTTTGCACTCCCGGGCTAAGGTGGTGTAGGGAATAGCCACTGTTTTCAGAATTTTGTGATTTTCAAGTGAGCTTGCCTTACCAGGCTTTTTGGGAACCCCCTCCAAGGCCGTGGCCTTTAGAAAAGCAGGTATTATCTCTCAGCATCAGAGCCAGATACAGGGAGTCACTGGGGCCTTGTCTTTAGGATTCAGGAAACCTTTAGTCTTACATAATTAAGCACTAGAGTAATCCATTGCTTTGACATGTTAGCCATAAGAATAACCAACCAGTTGCTGTCAAATTGATTCCAATGCATGGCGACCCCCTGTGTGTCAGAGTAGAACTGTGCTCCATAGTGTTTTCGATGGCTGACTTCTTGGAAGTAGATCTCCAGGCCTTTCGGTTAGAGCTGAGGGTGTTAACCATTCACACCACCCAGGGACTCCAGCCATGAGAATAATCACCTAATAGGAAGGGGATTATTGCAAGGGCAAATACTGGTTGATTAGCATGCCAGCTCTGCTGTCCCAAATCCATGCATTTTAAAGTAGAAATATTTACCTGTCAGTTGCTGGCTTTGGGAGAAGTATTTTTTTAGTCCTTTGTCCTGAATAAGTACATGCCAATCACAAGTCAAATTCTGATTTCTCTTTTAAGCCAGTTCTTCTATAGAGAAATCATCCATTTAAAAAAGCCTTTTTTCTTATGAATAATAAACATTTCTCTGTCCTAAAACCTTGTTTTGAATTATCATACTGCCTTTTAAACTTTCTTGTGTATTTAAGTATTCATTGAACAGATATTATCATCAATAATAATTATGAAAAGCCATTATTATTCTTTTTATAATTATAGATACCCTTCACTTTCCCTGGAATGACTTTGTAGCATGCTTCTTCCTGTTTGCACCCAGATTCCCTCCATTGTTCTCACTTCGCCCCTATTTTTGTAGTATGCTACCCAGTGCTGCTGACGCCTCTTACTAAGGGAGACCTAACTGTGAATTAAGCCATTGTGGGGTTTTTTGCTTGCCTGCGGATTTTTTTCTTTTTCTCTTTCCAGATAAATAATATATTTAGATTGAAATTCTTCTTCTCATGTAAATTTCTCATCCATTTTTCTACATGTTAACCAAAAGCTAGACATTTTAAATCTCAAGATTAGAACTAATGCACATTTGGCTTTTAAAAAAAAAGTTTTAAGTGAAGGGAACAAAGTAAACAAACATACCAAAAAAGATGAAAATGGGGTGGGGGGACCACTGATGCTTTTCACATATGGACTGTCCCCTTCTATTTTTAGGACAACACTTTATTTATTGTTCCCTTGCCTTTTTTCCCCTGCAGTCTTCCTAACCCAACTAGATTTGAAAGTCCCAGCGATGAGAATTCGTTCTTCGTGCCATTAGGAGGAGCTCTAAGCTGTGTGTTGACTTGCTTTCTCGCCTCACTTTTTCTCTGTCTTGAAATGTGCTGTACACTAGAGAACTTTCCAAGCCCTGTTCACTTTAAGAAGTTATTTCCATTTCCCCCTTGTTCTGTACTACTGGAGATCATCTAAAACTGCAGCGTGTCTCCTGGGGCCAGGGCAATAGCTACACTGACTTACTCACTAGTACCTTATCCAGCTTCATGTTTAAAATTTTTTTGGAAAGAATACAAGTTGCTAACTTTGTATTTTCTGTTTTGAGAAATTAATGTTACTTGAAAATGATGTGAAAGGCAAATATTCACAAGTCTCCCAGTAGCAGATAAGGCTATAAAATCTCCCTGAGAGTGATATTCAGTTGCACAGGGAAGAGAAAGGTGGTTCACACATAGAGTTTCAGAAAGCATTTTCAATCTCTTCACCATTTTTAGGTTTCGTTTCATTTTTACTTGTGATAATACAGAATGTAGAAAGTAAAAGGTCAGCAGAATCTTCCCGGTTGGTAGCAGTACACAGGAGATAGAGTGAGAAAGCATCATAAGGGAATGTAGGGAAAAGCAAAAAAGATTAAGAAACAGTGATCGGGGTAAAAGAAATGTGACATGTAAGAGACTACATCCAATGTAAGAAACTACATCCCGTCCTCTGTTTCTAAGTGTCTTTCAGTGTGTAGGAGAAAATACACGTGCTCGTCTCCTTCCGTTCGCAGAATGTGGAAGTGACTTCCCACTCCCAGGTTTTTAAAGAAATGCAAGCTATTAGTTTTAAAGTAGTTCTGTCTTCTGGCTTAAGCCCATTGCCATCGATTTGATTCCTACTCATAGCGACCCTACAGGACAGAGTAGAATGCCCCATAGAGTTTCTAAGGCTGTTATCTTTATGGGAGTAGACTGCCACATCTTTCTTCCGCAGAGCGGCTGGTGGATTTGAACTGCCAACCTTTTGGTTTTCAGCCGAGCACTTCAACCACTGTGCCACCAGGGCTCCTTTCTTCTGGCTTACTTTTTCTAATATAGAGAAAATTTACCTTCTGATCTTAATCAGTGGGTAGCCAGCTGGCGAGTGGCCACAGACCTCTAACAGAACATTTATCAAAAAAGGTAGTCTGTGGACACCCTGCGTAACAATCACCTGGAGTGCTTTTGAAAATGCACATTCCTAGGTCTGGCCCCAGACCTCGGCCAGATCAGAAGGCAGTGGAACAGGGCAATCTGCGTTTTTAGCAGGCTGCCCGGAGGACTCTTAGGTCTGCTTCCTTTGAGAGGCACAGAGCAGCCTGAGCCTGCCTGCCGATGGCTGCAAGGGACTAGAGTCAGACGGCACCAGGAGTATCGTCCTTCTGAATCAGTCACGCATTACACTATGGCTCAGTAGTGCCATCTGCAAACAGAAGCAATTGTATGCCAGAATTCTTTAATGCAGGCTCCCAAACGGTGCTGCTTTTAAAAAGTTGATTGCCTTATTTATTAACCCTTGATGGCTGCCAATCATACGGACTTGAATGCTGGAGAAATCTTGCTTTAAGCCAATACCACTGTAAGTTTTCATCAGTAGAGGCAACCAAGATTCTGACAGACACAGCAACACACAGAACATTCTACTGGGGAGTAGCTCCCAGTAACTCATTGTCGTTTGGCAAGACCAGCATCGCGTACTGCAGCAGTCAAGTGAAAGAAGAAGCTACCAGCAACAACCTAATGACTCTTAGAGACATAATGTTGAATGAAAGAAGCCAGACACAAAAAAATGCAAGCCATATGAATCCGTTTCTATAAATTTTAAAACATTGGGATCTAAACTGTATTATTTAGGAATATATACGTAGATGGTAAACTATTTGAGGGAGGGAGAGAGGGCTGGATTGGGAAATGACCAATCAGGAGTTTGGGGGTCTTTCCAATATTATTAATCTTGACCATGATTGTTGTTGTTGTGTGCCGTCGAGGCCACACCAACCCATGGCGACCCTGTAGGACAGAGTAGAACTGCCCCACGGAATTTCCCAGGCTGTCATCTTTACGGGGTCGCCAGGTGTTTTCTCCTGCGGAGCTGCTGATGGGTTGAAACCCCTGACTGAAAAGTTAGCAGCCAAACACTTAACCGTTGTGCCACCAGGGCTTCTTTTTGACTGTGGTAGTGATTAGTTAATACAAAACTTGGTAGCATTCTTTTTCTTTGGAAGAAAAGAGAATAAGAATTTGTAATAAAGTGTTAGCTGCATTTGGTTTTCTTCCTTTGCTCGGTGAAACGTGAACAAGACCCTAACCCCTTCTTTTTGACTGATGAACTTTCGGGCTCCCGAATTCAATTACGTTTTACCTTATCCACCTTATAGGTAGAGTATTTGAGTATTAGAGATAAAGGGTGACTTGGAGAGATGGTAAGACATGTATAGTTTTTGTCCAAACCATTCTGGTTTCATCTTTCCCTCCACCTTCAGATTTTGGGCTTGATGTCCCTGTATTAAAGATTGCAAAGATCAGATGGTTCTAGAGCTCTAAATCCAAACAGCTGAACACTGCGATTATTTTAAGATAATTTTCTGCTTGGGTCAAATTATTCCATTATGATCCCAAAGATGTATGTTGCTTTTTTGGATTCGTCTTTTGCCTTGGGTAAAACCTATTCAAAATGAGTCTTTTAAAAGTAGAATTTGTATGTGTTAAAACTCAGCTGTGACACTAACCCTTAACTATTTCGCTCTCACCTCTGAATGGCAGCACAAGAGACTAGAGAAAATAGTTGCCTCTAACTGAGGGTTTGGAGAGGAGGGAAGACTTACCTTTTTATCACACGCTCTTAGATTTTTTTTTTTAAATGTTCTGTCACGTGCATGTATTACCTAAAAAAATTTCATCGGGAAGTTACATTGACAACTGGCAATCTACTTCTAAATGTGTGACCTCAGGAAAAAGTATGAATGGTTCATTATTTAGGCTACATGCCATCATTAATTATTTTTGAGTTATACAAGTCTAACAGAAAAGATTAAGTGATTTAGGTTTATGTGGTTTGTAATGTGTTGTCGTTGTTGTTGGGTGCAGTCAAGTTGTTTTTGACTCATACTGACCCCATGTGACAGTAGAACTGCCTCAGGATTTTCAAGGCTGTAATCTTTATGGGAGCAGATTGCTAGGTCTTTCTCCCTTAGAGTGACTAGATGGGTTCGAACATCCAGCCTTGAGGTTAGCAGCCAAGTACGGAATTGTTGCACCACCAGGGCTCGTTATAATGTCATGTAGTATAATGTAAATATATCTGGCATAAGCTTTGGGGAGGCAAGACATGGAACTGGAAAGAATTTCTGTATTTTGCTTGTTGCTGTTTTCTGCAGTATACTGTCAAGATAAATAACTTGATGTTAAAAATGGACACTTCACTGGCATGGTAATTATAATCTAATTTATAGCAGTCCGTTGAGAATTCTTAAATCTGGATAATAAAAATGAGAAGTAAATTTTAAAAAACTAATAGGGTTTAAAGCTTGGTATGTTTTTGGATTTGTTCTGTTCTGCAGCTTTAGTTTGGGACTTCTTTGGTTTGGTTTGGTTTGGTTTTTCTGTCTTTTTTTTTTTAATGCATATCAGAGAAAGTTAGTAACTGAAGTTATACAAGCGGAAGAGTTAGCTGCCAAAAGGAATGTCTTTTTTTTTTTTCCTTTTTATCGAGATGTAACTCACATACCATAAAATTCATGCTTTCCAGAGTGTACAATTCAGTGGTTTTTAGTATATTCACAAGGTTGTTCAACCATCAAAAAAAAAATCAAACCAGTTGCCATTAAGTTGATCCAACTCATGACAACCCCATGTGTGTCAGAATAGAACTGTGCTCCATAGAGTTTTTGATGGCTGATTTTTCAGAGGTAGATCAACAGGCCTTTCTTCTGAGGAGTCTCTCGGTGAACTTGAACCTCCAGCCTTTCAGTTAGCAGCTGAGTGTGTTAACTGCACACCCAGGGACTCCATGCAGCCATCACCACTGTCTAATTCCAGAACATTTTCATTACCCCAAAAAGAAACCCTCTACCCATTAGCAGTCCTTCCCTCTCTCCCTCTCCCCCTCCCATAGTCCCTAATAACCACAGATCTACTCTCTGTCTCTGTGGATTTTCTATTCTGGACATTTCATATAAATGAAATCATATAATATGCAGCCTTTTGTGTCTGGCATCTTTCTCTTAGCATAATGTTCTCAGAGTTCATCCATGTTGTAGCACATACCAGTACTTCGTTCCTTTTTATGACTGATTACTATGCCATTGTATAAATATACCACATTTTGTTTATTCATTAATCAGTTGATGGACATTTGGGTTGTTTTCACTTTTTGGTTATTATGAGTAATGCTGCTTTGGACATTCATGTACAAATTTTTGTGGGAACAAATGTTTTCAGTTCTCTTGGGATTGGAATTATTAGGTCATATGGTAACTCTGTGTTTAACTTTTTAAGGAACTGCCAAACTGTGTTCCAGAGCAACTGCACCATCTTACACTCCCACCAACAATGAGTGAGGGTTCCAGTTTCTCCATATCCTTGCTAACACTTGTTATTGTCCTACTTCTTTTATTATAGCCATCCCAGTGGATGTGAAGTTGTATCTCATTGTCAGTATTGTCCTTTGAACACAAAAGTTTTTAATTTTGATGATGTCCAATTATCTGTTTTCTGGTTGTTGTTGCTTGTACTTTGGGTGTCCTATCTGAGAACCCATTGCCTAATCCAAGATCACAAAGATTTACAGCTATATTGTTTTCTAAGAGTTTTATAGTTTTAGCTCTTACATTTAGGCATGCGAACCATTTTTGAGTTGATTTTTATATATGGTGTGAGGTAGGGGTTCAGCTGCCTTCTTTGGCGTGTGGCTGTGCAGTTGTCCCAGCACCATTTGTTGAAAAGACTATTCTTTCCCCCACTCAATTGTCTTGGCACCGGTTGAAAATCAGTTGACCATAAATGGAGGAGTTTATTTCTTTACTCTCAATTTTATTCCATTGACCACATTGATATATTTCAGCTAAAAATAATGTAAATTCAAATGAAGTTGCTGCTTTTGACTTTGAAAAAAGGTCAGGGTACAACTTTTTTTTTCCAAATTCTCCTCAAGCATTTTCTTCTTTCTTATATTCTAAGACTAGATCACTTCAATGCACAGTGACTACAGATTAATGCACAGACTATAAGCTGTATAATTTTTTTAAAATACATGTTCATATTGCGTCCAGATAGTGCCTCTGAAATAAGGCAGCTGGTAAAATCCCAGAATAATCTTTATCAAGTTGTTTCTTGGGTAAAAGCTTCTTCCTTGCTCTCCTTTTCTACACCCCAGCAGAACTCCACAAATGGAGAAGTCCATTTAGGGTGCAGTTTTATTTGTTATTGTCTTCAGTAGCCTTCTATAATTACAGAAGCAGTAAGGTATATTGTAGAAAGTTAGAAAATACAGACAGAAATTTTAAAATGAGAGTATTACATTCTTACCACTCAGATCACTATTAGAATTCCTTAGTGTATATCTTTACAGGTCTTTTTCTATGTAAATGTACACATGTATGTATTTTTTAACCAAAGATGAAATTTTATAGTTCATACAGAATTGAACTACTCTTGAGTCAGTGGTGTCCCATCTGTCAATTTCAGTAAATTTTCATTTCATCTGATATCCAGGCTGTATTCAAATTTCCCCAACAGTGTCCTTTCCCTCTGGTTTGCCCAAACCAATATTCAGTCCAGGACTATTTGACCGGGATGTTAGGGCTCTTCAGTTTCTTTTAACCTAGAGTATCTCCTCTCAACCCTGTTTGTTTATGTGAGTTTTTATTTGTTTTCTGTTTAGTAACTAGCTTGTTGAAGACATCAGGCCAGTTGTCCTGCAGAATGTCCCAACCTCTGGGTTTGTCTGCTTGCTTCCTTCAAGGAGAGCCCTAGTGGCGCAGTGGTTAAGAGCTTGGCTGCTAACCAAAATGTCGGCAGTTAAAATCCACCAGCCACTCCTGGAAACCTTATGCAGCAGTTCTACTCTGTCCTGTGGGGTCACTGTGAGTCAGAATCGACTCAACGGCAGTGGGTTTGGTTTTGGGTTTGGTTTCCTTCAGGTAGCATTTAATACTTCTCTATTCCCCTTATTTCCTATAAATCGGAATTTATATCTAAAGGCTTGATGAATTCAGGATAAACCTTTTTTGCTGGAACACACCATAGGCACTGTATCACATCAGAAGGTGCATAACATCTGGCTGACTCCATCATTAGTGATGCTGAGTCTGACCGTTGGTGAGAGGCTGACCTTTCCCATTGTATAGTGCCAGTCTGCACTTTGAGACTAGAAAGTGACCTCTGTGGTTTCATTTTGAAATGATGCAGACGTACAGTTCCCCATCAAACATCCACCTAATATAAGAGTTTTTTACCACCATTTAGGTGTGATTTAAAATGTAGATTTTAATCAGAAAAAATTTGAATTGCTATTCTATTTTTCTAAGACATCCTAGAACTGAGTTCAGTATTGATTGACCTGCTGATGGTTTTCAGCTGTCTGAAGCTGTCTCCGTAGTGGAGAACTTTGCTTCTAAAAGTCTAATGTTGGATTTTTCAGTCATTCTATAATATCTTTTTATTTCAGCCTGAACTCAAAGTGACAACAGAAGAGTCTAGATATAAAATAAAGGCGTATGTCCTTCCTTTCTTGCTTCGCCTCCTGACTTCCTCCTGCTCCCCACCCTGAGGGCAAAGAAAATATCGGGGTGGAAGAAATAACTTGTGTCACATCTAATAGATTCCCAACTATCCTTTACTATAAAAGAGAAGAGGGCTTTTTCATAAAAGAGAATCAGGCTTCTTGGAGTCAACAATTTAAAAGGAGCTTTGGTCTGAAATGAGTAACTATACGACATCAACTATTCCTTCAATATATTTAACATCCTGAAAAAAAAAATACAGGTTGGATTATAATCATGTGCTCAATTTGAGCCACACTTGAGGCTCAGTAAAGGAGCCCTGGTGGTTCAGTGGTTAAGCCCTTGGCTCCTAACTGAAAGGTAGGCAGTTCAAACCCACCAGCTGCTCCACAGAAGAAAGGTGTGGCAGTCTGCTTCCTTAAAGATTGACAGCCTTGGAAACCCAATGGGGCAGTTCTACTCTGTCCTGTAGGGTCACTGTGAATCAGAACCGCCTTGCTGGCAGCAGGTTTGATTTTGGATTTGGTTTTAAGGCTCAGTTAGCATTTCCTGCAGCTCACCTGCTGAGAAGACCTGGGTCTTTGTCTCTGTGCTGGGCACCAAACCACTCGCTTTTTCTGTCAGCTGCGACACCCACAGGATTTAGAGATCCCCCTCCCTGAGTTCCTTCCCACCTGTGTTCGGCCTTAGCACCAGCGAGTGCTGCTGCCTTCCGACCCGCCATCTGCATCCCAGTGGGGCCAAGGGTGGGTGTTTTTAAGCTGAGAATTTTCTCTCTTGGAATTCCCATTGAGGGGTCAGGAAGGCCTGAGGTTGAAATGGCTTGAAAGGCCTTGTGCCAGCCATGCTTTGTTTTATGTTGAGGTAATTCGGGGAGGGTGGGAAGATGACCTAGTTAGGCAGTGCTTTTAGGGCCTCAGCATGATGTTTCTGCTTAGTAATGTCTTAAAATTATGCCTGAACAGAGGCTTCTAGCCTTCAGTAAAGCTGTAAGCTTTACGCATGTATGTGTTTGCATGCCCACGCCTCCCTTTAGTGAATATCCATGAACAGGCCATGCACCTCTCCTCATGAGAGATCTGGCGTCTGGAACAGGAGGCACACACAAAAGCATCACAAGGTTGAGGAACTGGCAGAGGAAAAGGAACTCCAGTCCCCACGGCTTACTGACTGCCTAACAGGAGAGTAGATTTTCTCCCATTTGACCTACAGCAAAGAAGGTCCTGTTAACAGAACTTTTCTTTTTTCATTTGTCAATAGGAAACCTAAAAGAGAAGAGCACTTAAGTGAAGAAGCCATCAAGGTGATCGCCAGCCTTCCCGACTTAACGTTCATGCATGCTAAGGTGTTGATGTTCCCCGCCACGTTAACGCCTTCCACAGGCTCCCAGGAGAAGACAGACTGGTAACTGTGGTGAATCAGGCAACTTCAATTGCTTTTCCTCTCCTCCATCCCTTCCCTGCCATCAAAAGCATACCTACTCTAATTAAAACACAAAAACAACAAAATTCAAGTTCAGCTGATTTGTTGGTAAGCCGCACTAGAAAGGTATACATAGTAATGTATATTTATTTACATACTGAAGTCCTAAATTTATATTAGAAAAAAATGTAAATAATCAGGGGTGAACATTTTTGAAGATTTATTCTTTTTGTGTTGCTGGGGTGTATACATTTATGTCTTTGTGAAATACACTGGTGGTGTCCTTCTTACAAAACTTTTGAAATAAAAAGAAAATTAAAAACTCAAATCTCCACTGTCTGTGAAATCCCCTTCAGTCTTTTCAGATTGCATTGAATGTCCTATTAATTTTCCATCTCTTGTGTTGAATTTTTGGCTATCATAAATAAGTTCCAAAGTCCCCGTTCACATTTTTTCTGTTTAATTTTGTGTGTAGTGGCTTTGTTTCAGATCTGGCTTCTGTTAACATTTTCGGGCCCTTTTTTAATCTTTTCAGTCCGGCATATTGCTGCTTGACCTTTTACAAGGTACTTTGATCAATTGCTCTTTTGGTGTACGGAATGGATCATCGTCAGAACTTGATTGGAGGGGTTTAAAGAGATTGTGTCTGTTTTAAATTAGTTTGATTTGAAGAAGGACCAAATTATATGAATGTCTTACAATGCAAATTTATTTGTTACTGATCTTTTGTTGTTGTTCTGTTGTACCACTATTTTTTGAGGATTTTGCACAGTGTAAAATGACATAATCATAGATTGCTATGGTTTAGGCTGTATATACAGTAAAAACTATGGGTTTTAAATGTTTGGGGAAATTCCTATGGAAAAAAGAGAGATGCGTAGAAGAACCTCTAACAAGGCTAATGTGCATGCCAAGGTCTTTTGAGATTTCAGTGTGTAAATTTCCTTTTAGCTTACACAAAAATAAAATAATTTAAAAGAAATTTAGCCTGGTGTCTTTGTATTTGGGTACTTGAGGAAAAATGTAACGAGTTTGGATGTGAAATTCTACTAAGTTTTAATGTATTTCAGTCTTGAAGAAATCATTTGGTAGGGTTTCCACTTGGTTGAACCCAGAAAAGATTAGCATCTGGCCCGTAAGGAATGGATCGGTACTTATAGTCGCCGAGCTGTTTTTAGATGTAGAACATGAGATCATACATAAAAGAAATGCCAGCAATTCATTATAACATATCTTCATCAGAGTATTGGCAACGTAGTGATTAAATAAGGATTTGTAGTGAATTTTTTTTTCTAAGACGATATTTAGATGAATTAAGGTGAGCAGAAAATTTCTAAAAAGTAATTTTAAAATATTGTTATTAGATATTGCTTCAGCAAAAAGTCATAGGACATATTTCATAAGGAATAGGCAGCCCAACAGTAGTCCATCTCATCTGCAATGGGAGTGTTCCAGTAGAATCCTTTCGCACCTCCTTCACTGACAGATCCCTGTGTTGCCAGGTTATCACACCAGCCATTGGACAGTGGCCTGACTTGTCTTTTTCGGAGAAGGCCCTCCTTCCTTCAGAACAGTCCCAAGTCTTCAGGACCCAGTAGACCTGAATGGAAGGAGATAACCCAAAATATTCCTTGGCAGAACTTAACATGTTTCATTAATTAAAACTTAAAAGGACTACTACAGTATATTACAACTAAATTGTCATGGCAAACTCTCAACCAACCTAAGTTCAGCCCACTTAGTAGCTGTGTTCTCATGAGAAAGTTAATCAACTTCTCTGAGCTTTACTTATTATCTATAAGAATAGAAATACTACTACTACCTACCTTGTGGGGTTGGTGTATTAAATAACATATAAAACACTTGCCACATGAATAGACAGTCAATAAATGGTAGCCAAAGTGTTGAGTCAGCAAAACCTGTGAACTCTTCATGGATTCTGGGTAGATTGAAGAAGCGGTCACAGGAGAAAGGATCACTTAAAATATCAGATTATTGTAGTATTTAAAAACAACCAAGTGTACTCATGAAACTGAGCCTGCTTTAATGACTCACAGAATAAATGTTTCATCTTATAACCGCTTTTAGATAAGGGAGATTTCCCTTTTGTTTGTCATGTTGGCCCTTGATGTTTTAATCACAAGAGGTATGCTAACACTGGATTGTCTTGAGAACTAAAAGTGCTCTGCCTTGAACCAGACCAGGGCTTGAATTGCACCAGAAGGCAATAGCCGCATCTGGTCCAGGGAAAGGCCTTCAGCTGCAAACTCATCTTTGTCATCAGCTCCTTCTGGTGGCAGCTGCCCACTTGTCGTTCTCAAAGTCAACCAGGAGGACCCTGCAGAGCTGAGGAGAAGAAACCAAGGAGTCAGAGCTCCTAAAGGCCAAATCACACTCAGCGGAGATTGGTTTAGCAGTCAGCTTTGTGCCTTTGACATCTTAAAACCAGCTCACTCCCCCGACAGGCACATCCCACTGATGACCAAATTGAAAAAGCCATACAGAATCCCCCTGGTCAGTCCAAGCCAGACTGGCCAGTATCGGAAAAAAATGCCCTAAGCTGGGTCATGTGTCACTACGCTGTCTCAATGAGTCATCCTTTTATATAGAAACTTGTTCTTCCCACTACATGATTATTGTGTTCTTTATTTAGAACTTGTCATCCTTTTGTTCCTTCTTTCTTGAATCAGGATTAGGGTTGACTGTGAGTAACAAAACCCAAAATACTGCATTTCGTGTAATAAGACTCATGTATTTGTCACATTTTAACTTCTCTGAAAGTGGAGTGTATCATACAATTGGATGGGGTGCCCGTTTAATTGGCAGTAGTTTCTTTTTCTTAGTATTGCATAAAATACTGCAATGTCTTACACTCAGTGACCGAGCTGATGAAAAATGGTAATTATGGCTTAAACAGTAGAAGCTTATTTCTTCTGTAAAAGACTGGAAGAAAGCAGTCTCGGGCTTGCCAAGTGGCTTCATAAGATTGTCAAGGACTGAAGCTCGTACTATCTTGTTGCCCCACCACCCTCTACACACGGTTTCTACTTTACGGCCCTGCCATAGGGTCCTGCCATTGTGGAAGAAAAGATGAAGAAGGGCACACTCCTTCCTGTTAAGGACACTTGCCGTAATGCAGACACGCTATTTCCAATGACAATCCATCGGCCAGAACTTAGCTGCAGCGCCATATCTAGCTGTAAGAAAGACAGGAATATCTTTATTCTGGGTGGGCATCTAAAAATGAAGGAGTTCTAGTACGAAGGAAGAAGGAGAGAACAGGTGTCAGTGGAGCAACCAGAAGTCTGGGCAATCCCTATTTTTCACTTCTCTGCCTAGACTAGCCGTATTTCACTGCAAAAACATAATACATACAGAAATGAATCCCGGGATCAGAGTCTCAGGCTGCTGTCCCTCAGACCAGAAATATTACCTTCCTGGTGCCTTTCCAAGGAGAAAAGAATCCATAGAGGGCAGCCCAGGATGGCCTGGCACCTTGGAGGAACAAATGCTAAGACAAGTCGTGGGTGGAAGTCGAGAGGAGCCTGGTGAGGTAGCGGGAGCGCTGGATTAGAACAAGCAGTGTGTTCTAATCATGCTCTGCCACTAAGCAGCCATAAGTCTCAGGCCCTTCATCCATAAAATGAAGGGTTTGATTCTGTAGAATCCTAAAAATTAAGGAAGAAACCCTAGAGAATCATAGAATTTTAGAGCTGAAAGATCAGCTGGCCTAGTGCTTTGTAAGTGACTCCCGGGAGCCCTGTAGCAGCGTTCCAGGAGGCCTTGGCTCCTGCGGTGAGGGAGATGTCCAGTAGTAACAATCTGCACTTAATGCATTTGGCGGGGGCGGGGGCGGCTGCCGAAGATGTCATTTAATAAAAGAGTTCCTGACTACCAAGGAGTCCCTGGGTAATGCAGATGGTTAACATGCTCAGCGGCCAACTGAAAGCTTGGTGGTTCAAGTCCACCCAGAGGTGCCTCAGAAGAAAGGGCTGGCAATCTACTTCTGAGAAATCAGCCATTGAAAACCATTGAAAGCACACTTCTACTCTGACACACAACCATTGAAAGCACAGTTCTACTCTGACACACATGGGGTCACTATGAGTCAGAGTTGACTTACTGGCAACTTTTCTTTTTTCCTGGTCTCTACCAAAAGTTGAAAGCTGATGATGATTAAATTTTCATAGCTGAGGAAACTGAAGCCTAGATAAGGAAATTGACTTGGCCAAGTTTACACAGCTAGAACCACAGGCAAGACCCAGGCCCAGTTTTCCTCACTCTTGGCCTTTCTGCTTCCACCCTCCTGAGTCTCCCTGTGAACAGGTGGTCCGTCCAGCCTTTGCGTCAGCATTTGCAGGGACGCCATGTGGGCTCAGGGTCTCACAGGCAGCCCCACAACATGTGCCTTGTTGGGCAGTACAGATGGCCAGGCTTTCTACTGAGTGGACACCTGGTTCCCCATCCCCTCCTATTCATTCAAGTTATCCCCTCTTAAGCTGCGTGGGATAAACCTAATTCCTTTTCCACGAGTATCTGAAGACCACTCCTCTGTTCACCCTTCCTCTCCTTCCACCAAGCCTCCCGTGATCACATGACCCCCAGGCCTTTCACGTACACATCATTCTTCTCTGGACATTGTTCCAATTTGCCCAAGTTCATCTTCCAAGTGCTCTCAGACTGGACCCAACTGGACAAGATGTCACCTCATCATTGACAGGGGACTCATGTTTATTTTATTTCAGACACTTTTTTGTCCAGACACTCTTTTAAATGTAGCCTGAAGTTACTCGTCGCGGCGATAGTGTTGCCTCTAACCCGTTGTGTGTACAGCTTTTTCTCCCTAACTGCCATCAAGCCAGATTTTCTCTATGAACTACTTGTGCCACTGGGTTCTTGGAACCAAACAGTAAGATTTTTACATTTATCCTTTTACAACTTTATTTGATTAGCTTTAGACCATTGTTTCAGCCTGTCCATCTCATCAAGTCTTAATTGTACTTTCTAGCAACTAGGCTCTCTCTCCTTCCTCAGCTTTGTCATCCACAGAGTGATAAACATCCCCTGTAGTCCACGTCACCGACACAAATGTTGACCAGTACAGATCTCTGCAGCTCCCCTCCCAGTGTGCCACGAATACTCTGGGGATGGCTTTTCAGGCCACAATGTGGCCACATTTCTCCATCTTACCCACAGGTCCCAAGGCACTCCAAGTCCTTGCTGAATCCAGTCATACTAAGCATAGGGCATTTCATGGGCCACCTTGAGCATTTCTAGAATGACCTTCAGAAGCTTATCCACTTGAAAACTTCTGTGACCTAGTGTTCCAAAAGAAGCATGTTGTTGCTGTTGCTGTCAAGCCAATTCCGACTCATGGTGACCCCATGTGACCTTTCGGAAGCAGATCACCAGGCCTGTCTTTCAAGGCACCTCTGGGTGGGTTCAAACCGCCAACCTTTCAGTTAGTAGTCCAGCACTTAACTGGTGCATCCCCAAGGGCCTCCTCCAAAAGAAGCATAAGAGCAAGAAAACAAGTAGCAGATAAAATGGCATCCAGAAATGAGGAGAACTCATATAGTCATCTGGCACAGTACCTGGCATGTAGTGAGCACTCCGGAAATGGCCTTTACAATGTTTTATTATCTGCATTCATCAAGGTCGATATTCTGTCATTAATGATGCAGATAAAAGACTAATCATTGGAGAATATGGTTGTCTTCCTGACAATCAGTCAAAAAGTTAGCCTGAGCTCCAGAATATTCAAGTTTCCTTTACAGTATCTCTTCTATTTCAGTTATCCGTAATTGTAGCTTATCTTTTCGGCCTGGACAATCTCTGAGGATAGTGTTTAATAATATTTTTGTTTGTTTTATATTTACCTCTTTCAAAAACTTCTCTCTCTTCAATAAATGTTGCTGGGAAGATTGGATTTCCTCATGCCAAAGAATGAATTAGGGTCAATACCTCACACCATATCTCACACAATTAGGGTCCATACCTCACACAAAACCAACTCAAAATGGATCAAGAACCTAAATGTGAAAACTAAAACTATAAAATTCTTAGAAAAAAATATAGAGGTGTGACGGCAGGACCTAGTATTTAACAATGGATTATCAGATATGGTAACAAAAGCACAAGAGCAAAGGATAAAATAGATAGATGGGACCTCATGAAAATTAAATATTTTTGTTCATCAAATGATTTATCAAAAATGAAATGACAATCTAAAGATTCAGCACAATCCTGATCAAAATTCCAACAGCCTTCTCTACAGAAATGGAAAAATCAATCCTCAATTTTACATGGAATGGCAAGAGGCCCAGAATAGCTAAAGCAATGTTAAAAGAGAAGAACAAAGTAAGAGGACTCACACTTCCTGATTTTAAAACATATTACACAGCTATAGTAATCAAAACAGCCTAGTACTGGTATAACGATAGACACATAGACCAATGGAATAGAAATGACTCCAGAAATAAATCTACGGATCTGTGGTCAACTGATTTTTGACAAGAGTCTCTTCAATAAGTGGTGTTGATCTTAAAAGCTTGCAAGCAGACATCCAAGGTATAACGATTGATCTCTATTCACCTGGAGTAACAGAGGAAGGAGGAGATTCAGGGATAGAAGGCAGTGGGATATGTAGCTAATTGCCTCCATGAATAACTGCCTTCTTTGCCATGCGACCACAAGAACTGGATGGTGCCCAGCTACCAGTACTGAATATTTTGATCAAAGAGTTGATAAGAGAATCCTGATCAAAAGGGGGAAAATGTAGATTGGAATTTCAAATTCTCATGGAATCCAAATTTTCTGGAGCCATAGAGTCTGAATAAATGAACCCCTGAAACTATTGCCCTGAGATAATCTTTAAACCTTAAACCAAAACTATTCCCTGAAGTCTTCTTAAAACCAAACAGTAGTTTAGCTGAACTAGTAAAGAATGTCTGCCTTGATCATTGTGTTCTTTCAAGATCTATCTGTATGGGATCAGATTGACAACAGCAACTCAAAAGATTAGATAAGAAGCTTAGGGGACAGTGAGTTTATGTTAATGGGGGAAGAACAACTCAGAAAAGGAGGGTGAGAATGGTTGCACAACTCAAAGAATGTAATCGGTGTCCCTGAATTGTACACGTAGAAACTGTTGAATTGGTGTATGCTTTACTGTGTATATTCTCAACTACAACAAAAATGAATTATTTTTTTTAAAAAAACCTATGAAGCACAGTTCTACTTTGACACATATGGGGTCACCATGAGTCAGAACTGACTGTACAGTAACTGTTTTCTTTTTTCAATTCTCAATAAAAACAGGTAATAAATGTTCTTGATTGAGATCCTCGTCCTGTCCTTGCCCCTGAGCTCTGCATCTCTGTCTCCATGGCCATCCCCACCTAGATGCCCCACCGACTCCTGCAAGTCAGCATGTGAACCGCAAACCCATGCTCGTACCTTCCTCCTTAACCCTGCGTCCACCCCCTTCCATAACTGTGCTTTATCTATACCTGCAAGGATTGTGAACACCAACTCAAGCCCCATTTGAATTTTTCCCAAAAAGATTCTATTCTCTCAATCATCGACTCAATCCTCCAAGCCCTGAAGCAATCCCCAAACACAAGCTCTGTGGGATTTCCATTTTACCAAATCCTATTTGTTTTTGGTTGGTTGGTTGTGCAAGCCGCAGGTGAGTACTGGACCTGGGGCGACCTCGGCTGCTCCTCAGGTACAAGTCCGCAGCCCACACCACCAGGTTGCTATCAACTCTGACTCATAGCGACCCTGTGTATGTCAGTGTAGAATCACGCTCCAGAGAGTTTTCAGTGGCTGATTTTGCAGAAGTAGATTGCCAGGCCTTTCTTCCAAGGTGCCTCTGGGTAGGCTCAAACCTCCAACCTTTCATTTAGCAGCCAAGCACTTAACTGTTTGCACAACCCCATGGACCCCTGAATAGCTCTACAGGAGATTTCAAATCCTGAAATCTGCTCTGACCATTCCCTAGAGGATGCCGTGAGCAGGTGGTTATGGGAAATCAGTAAAGATACCTCTTGGTTCTTGAACAAGGCCGGAATGGGGTTCAGAGGGGCTCAGGTAACCACATTCTTTGGTCCACAGACAAAGCCTGATACCCCTGAAAGGGCATGTCACACTGTAAGTCACTAAACTCAAGTGACACAGCAGGGGGCCCTGGTGGCACGTTCTATACCCCCTGCCTTTTTTTCTTTTCTGTGGTCCAAAGCAGGGGTCTGTGTTGGGCTGGGGGTGGTGTGCACAGGGTGAGGGAGTCACTCCTGGCCCTGTGGTCCTGGGCCGTGTTCTCCTCCGTGGCCACATCCAGCAGGATCACTGACAGTGCAGGTGACACCAGGGCTCTCCTTGCGTTATAAACTCAAGTCAGCGCTAAAGAGTCCCTCAGCAGGATGCAGACATTTTACCGAAATCAGTATTTGTACTTAGCGGGAGGAGAGACGTGTGGCCCACCCAAAAACCCACTGCCATCGAGTCCATTCTCACTCATAGTGACCCTGTAGGACAGAGTAGAAT